ACGGTAGGGCCCCCCTGCCTGCACCCTGGCCCCACGGTAGGGCCCCCTGCCTGCACCCTGGCCCCACGGTAGGGCCCCCTGCCTGCACCCACTTTCTCCAGATGGGTCCTCCAGCTCTGCCCCAGAGGCTTCTGCTCTGCCTGTTGTTGGGAGGAAGCCCCAGGCCAGGCCACAGGCTGATGCTGTAGAGGAAACGCTTTGGGGTGGCTGAGTGCCAGGGGGGGTGGGAGGCCTGGAGAGTTGCCAGACCCAAAGCACTGCATCCCACGGGCTGCAAAGGAGAGCCCCGCCTTTGCTTGCCCCCAGGCCTCACGAAGACCTGGAGATGGATGCTTCTAGGCCTTCAGATTACAGCCCCAGGCCAGGGTCTCTGTGCTTGAATACCCCAGAGCTCCTCAGGCTTAGGGGGCAGGGAGGGCCCAACCCGCGGCCAGCCAGTTCCTCCTGCTCTGACGGAGTCTGGCCTGTCTCTGCCTGCCATGCCTGTTAACCCACCCACTTGTTCTTCCTTGCCATCCAAGATCCCGTCCCTGGCTCCTCTGCATTCTACAACAGCCGCGCAGTCCCCTCTAGAACATTCTGCAACAGCCCCATGGTCTCCCTAGAACATTCCACAGCAGCCCCATGATCCCCTCTAGAACATTCCACAATGGCCTCCCAGTCCCCTCTAGAACACTACGCCACAGCCTCATGATCCCCTTGCTCCTCAGAGCATGTGGCCACCAGCCCCAGGAGCCCAGCCTCTTGAGACGCTCCCAGGGTAGACCTGCACGTTATCCTCACCCCGAAGCAGATGCTATTGGTCCAAGAGGATGCTCGGGCCGTCTTCAGTGGCTTCAGGACAAGGATTCTGTACCTCAGCCCCTGTCCCAACACCTGACTGCCCACAGAAGTGAAGACACCCCTACTGTCAGCCCTCATGGGAGAGTTCAAGCTGTGAGCAGGGGAGGGAGTGAAAGCCCAGCCAGAGAGCCAGGCTCCATTGGGAACAGATTTGGGTATTTCACCAAATCCCTCTGTGGGAACAGGCTGGGCGCAAGCACAGAGGAGGTCACACTGGAGGGAGCAGCCCAGGGCAGACTGCAAGACCCCGGTGGTCCATGCCCTGCAGGGCTCCACCCAGACACAAGCCACGCTGGTTTTCCATGCTGCGTAAGAAGCGGCACAGATGTAAGGACTGCAAGTAGCACCCGTTTATGATCTCGCAGTTCTCCAGGGCAGGGGTCCCAGTGGGCTCAGTGGGCACCCTGTGCGGGGTCTCTCAGGCTCACGTCAGGCCTTGGTGGGCTGCACTGTTATCTGGAGGCTCCAGGGAAGCGTCTGCCTCCAGGACCATTCAGGCTGTTGACAAGTCAACTCCTCATGGCTGTAGGACTGAGGTTCCCATGTCCTGTCCCTGCTCCCGTGGCCCCTCCACCTTCAAACCAGCAATGGCACACTAAGTAGGCTGCCGTCAAATATACATCACATAGAATTCGCCATCTGAACCATTTTTTAAGTGTATGGTGTGTGTCATTAAACACATTCACATTGCTGTGCAACCACTGCCACGATCCATCTCCAGAACTTTCCATCTTCTCAAGCTGAACGTCTGTCCCCAATAAACACCAACTCACATCCTCTGCCCTGGTCCCTGGCACCCACCATCCACTTTCTGTCTCTATGGATTCAGCTGCTCCAGGGGCCTCATATCGTGAGGTCACACAGGGTATTCCTTTTGTGTCTGGTTTATTTCATTTACTGTTATGTTCATAGGTTCATCCGTGTTGTAGCCTGTGCCAGAGTTCTTGAAAGAGAAATCTTATCAGCTTTCCCACGTGGTCCAGGGATTAAGGCAGGACACTTAGTGGGTAACAGTTTAGATATTCTGCCTGCCACACCCACTCTCACTGGACTTTCAGACCATGTCTATGATGAAAATCTCTAATGGTCCCTGAATGTTTGCACAATTTGCTTGACATGCTAAGTCCTGGGTGGAACACCAAGTTGGCCCAGCCTAGGCCAACGCCCTAGTGACACTGACAGAAGAGGACTGTCAGAGCCCTTCTAACTTCCATAGCTGGCGTGTGGACCCATCCCCCACCAAGACCAGCCAAGGCAGCTTCCCCCCAAATAAGAATAATCCTATGATGAGCGGCCAGAGTGACAAATGCCAGCTATGGTCCCCCCATCTTTCCAGTGACACCCACACACCCCTCCGGAAATGAGAACACTCCCACGTAACACACAGTGCTCCTTCCACTGAAAGCGCACAGGCCTGGTCGCCAAGGGTGGACACCAAAGGTCTCATGGGTTCCACACCCGGTGACAGCCCAGGGTCTCTGGTGGTGGGCACTCCCGCTGGCCCCGTCCTGGTCATGTGGCTGTTCTGCAGCCTATGGGTTTAATGTGAAAGGAAGCACCAACACACCCAACACACAGTCTCGGCGGAAAGAGAAGGGAGGTGGGAAGCTGAGTTCAGTTCTGGTGAAGTTTAGACAGCACAACAAAAACAGAAACGTCGCCAAAGCTCTGGGTGGCTCATCTCTGCAGCTGGTCATGAGATGGTGATGTGTGTTCATGGCTCACGTTCTTCACACCGTGTTTGCTCAGCCCGGCAGCCCAGTTCTTCACTCCCGCAGGGTCTCAGTCCTGTGGTTGCTGTGGTCGTCTACCGATTTTATCTCCAGCTACGGGAGAATGGGGAAAGACTCGGGACCACCTGTTAGTAGTCACATCTCTGCTTCCTCTTGTTAGGACCACCTCGCTATTCCCAAGGCCCCCTTTAAGGGGCCACGTGTGGCACCCACAACTTTCAGCTCCATCATACCGTGATTTATTCTCTGACCAAAGCACTCCTCTGTGAGTTACTGAAATCTCCAAACCAGGCCAGGCACGGTGGGCTCACACCTGGAATCCCAACACTTTGGGAGGCCAAGGCAGGAGAACTGGAGGCAGCAGCCCAGCGCAGACAGCAAGACACCCGTGGTCCATGCCTTGGAGGGCTCCATCCAGACGCAAGCCGCACTGGTTTTCTCAGCTGCGTAAGAGCAGCACAGATGTAGGGGCTGTAAGGAGTGTGTGTTCATGGCGTGTGCATGCCTCACATCTCAACACTTTGGAAGGCCGAGGCAGGAGGACTGCTTGAAGCCGGGAGTTCGAGACCAGTCTGGGCAGCACAGCAGGATCTTGTTTCTACAACAACAGAAAGGAAATATTAGCCAGGCATGGTGGTGAACACCTGTGGTCCCAGCTACTCAGAGGCTGAGGTGGGAGGATCTCTTGAGCCCAGGAGGTAGCGGCTACAGTAAGCTGTGATCACAGCCCTGAACTCCAGCCTGGGTGGCAGAGTGAGACCCTGTCTCAAAATATAAACAAATAGGCCAGGTGTGGTGGCTCATGCCTATAATCTTAGCACTTTGGGAGGCTGTGGGAAGTAGAAAAATTCCTTTTTAAAGTTTCCTTTCTTGTTAAAGAATCAGTGTGCTAAAAACTTTGTGAAGCCCTATCCTATGGAGCTGTTAGACACGCCATGCTTACAGGCACGTAGTACATTCTATGTCCTTGTACTTTCACCAAGATATCTGTGCTGGACGTGCTCACAGGCATGTCCCAGCCCTCCATTGCTTTTACCTGTTTAGAAAAGTTTTAGGTTATTAGCCAATCAGGTTTAAGTTTAAATTGTGAGGTCTGGCTGCAGCCAACTGAGATCAGACACAGCGGTAAGGAGGACCCCAAATGCGTAAGGAATAAATTTGTGTTTCCCTTTGTTCTTTGTTCTCTTGTGGCACAATGCCTACTGGGAGTACCCGTCCTGCAGTCCAGGAAGTAAAAATTGTGTTGCTGAAAGATCCTTTGTCTCAGTGCTGATTTTTCTTTGCAGCACTGAGCATCTATTTCCAACTTAGGCCAAGGTAGGCAGATCATTTGAGGTCAGGAGTTAGAAACCAGCCTGGCCAACATAGTGAAACCCCATCTCTACTAAAAAAAAAAAAAAATTAGCCAGGTGTGGTGGCAGGTGCCTGTAATCCCAGCTACTCAGCAGGCTGAGACAGAAGACTTGCTTGAACCCAGGTGGCAGAGGTTGCAGTGAGCCAAGATCATGCCATTGCACCTCAGCCTGGGTGACAAGAGCAAAACTCCCTCTCAAAAAAATAAATTAAAAAAAAATGAATAAAGAAATAAAATACAAAAAGATTAGTTGGGCATAGTGGTGGGCATCTGTACTCACAGCTACTCGGGAGGCTGAGGCAGGAGAATTGCTGGAACCCCAGAGACAGAGGGTGCAGTGAACTGAGATTGCACCACTGCCCTCCAGCCTGGGTGACACAGCGAGACACGGTCTCAAAAAATATATACACATATGTACACGTGTCTATTTACATGTATGTATATAGGCATATATACATATATATGCAATGTGTATCTATATATGCACACACACACACACACACACACACACACACACACACACACATATAACTAAATAAAATAAACGAAAATAAATCTCCAAACTAGAAGAGTAAGGACTAACAGGGCCAAGAGGTGAACCCTTTGCGAATGTCTAACCATAAGCACTGCCCTCACTCTCATCCCTAAGCCCCCGGCCTGTGGATCCTGGTTTGGGGGAGCGGCACCACTCACTGGGAACCAGGACCATATGCTGTAGGACCTCACTGCAGTCTTACGGTGGCATCTCCCGGCTGAGCTCCTAAATAATCCCGAATGATCCTGAGAAGCCAGATCGCCATCCCTCAGGGTTGGCTTCTCTGGAGGGACAGGGTACGTGGACACCCTAGTGAATCTCATGGTGTCTCCCCTCTGTCCTTCAGCTGTAAAGACAATGCCGTGGCTAGAAACAGCAGCAGGTGCGGGAGCAGGCGGTAGGCTGGGAAGGACAGTGCTGGTGCTGGCGGAAGCAGTGCCGGGGAGGGGAGGAGGGTCCAGATCAAGAAGGGTCAAGTGCAGTCGTCTTCCCCCTCATCTCATAGCCACGTAGTCCAGGGATGAAGACAGGGCAGTGGGCGAGGAGAGGGGAACAGGCTGGTTTAAGACCACAGCTGGAAGACATCCCTGAATGTTTGCACAGTTTGTTCAAGGTTCGAAGTCCTGGTGGAACACCAAGCTGGGCTGAGGCCCTACGTAGCTGACAAGAGAGAAAGAATGTCAAGGCCGTTGTAGCCTCCATAGTGGGCTGTGCCCACCCCCCATGAAGTGGAAGTAGTGCCAGTGAGGGGACATCAAGCATCAGCGCCATATCCTGTGGGACTTCACTGCAATCTTGCACTGGCATCTCCCAGCTGTGCTCCTAAATGATCCTATTCGCCCTCAGCACTAAATGTCCTGCCTTCGTCCCTGAGAAAAGCCAGACCCCCTCCACAAACGAAGGCACCCAAAGCCAGTCAGCCCGTGGCCAGGTGGCTCAGAGGTCTCCCATGAGATGTGGTGCCCTTCTGCAGGGCAGGACATCATGCTGCTGACCTTGATCGGGCATTGGCTGCAGGGATATCTGGAAGAGCCTGGTAAGCTGAGTCCCTGTGGCTGGGCCACAGCCACTCCCCTTGCCCCATGTCTGCCTCAAGGCAGCACCAGCTCCCTTGGGGCAGAGGCTGCCTGTCTGCCACAGGTTCCAAGAACCTTACTAGAGTCCAGTACCCAATTGGCTTGACAGTAGAGAATGCCCAGCCTGTCCAGCTACAGGACTCAGCAGACAAACAACACCCAGATCAGACTATATCTGACGCCCATGGACGGACTCAGTCTCCACCAGGCCCAGGGGAAGCCAAGCGCTGTATCTCCAAGCGAGAAGAGGTCCCGGCCACAAACGGCAAACCCTGCTCCCCTCAATGGTCACAGGGGCCTCCGCCATGGATTGGCTCAGGTTCCGAGGGTGCCTCGGTCAGCCAACACCCCAAGAGGACCTTTGGGTCCCTGGGCCACCACAACCCAGCGTCTCAGCCCACACAAGAACAGGACCGCATGGGCATTGTCACTGGCTGTGCCTCCTGCAGAAAGCAGGCCACCCACTGGGGCTTCTGGACACAGGGAAAGCACACACCCAAATGTGGGCTGTGTTTCCTCCAAAGAGTGCTGTGCACCGATGACCCAGGGTGCAGGAGCGGTCCTTCACCACCACGGAGTAGGCGTGCCCAGCTTTGTTGGACCCCAGGGAGAACTTCAGGAGAAAGGAGGAGTCTCTGTTTTCACAGGGTTTCCTTCTCACCCTGCCAGGCATGGTTTTGGTTAAAGCAAACCACAACTTCCTCCCCTCCAGGTCACATCAGCCCAGTGTCCTGTGGGCTGGGGAGACAATCAAGGCCCACATGGGCTAAACTATGGCTGAGATCGAGGGCATTCATGTAATCCCAAGGCAGGTTCATGCTGCCATCCCTCCCAGGTGAGAGCAAACCAAACCACCCTTACGGTTTTCTACATGTTGGCATAGACTGAAAAGCAACAAAAACAGGTGTTCACTGGCCAAATACTGTTTGCCAGTACAAAAAACCTGTACTGATTTGCTCCAATTAAGAAGAATATCTGGTGCTTGCTTCAGCAGCACATAACTAAAATTGGAACCATAAGAGATTAGCACAGGCCCTGCACAAGGATGACACACAAATTCTTGATGTGTTCCATATTTTTCAAGCATACCTCAAAATTATAAGAGCCATCTATGACAAACCCACAGCCAATATCATACTGAATGGTCAGAAGCTGGAAGCATTCCCCTTGAAAACCAGCACAAGACAAGGATGCCCTCTCACCACTCCTATTAACATAGTTTTGGAAGTTCTGGCCAGGGCAATCAGACAAGAGAAAGAAATAGAGTATTCAAATAGGAAAGGAGGAAGTCAAACTATCTTTGTTTACAGATAACATGATTCTATATCTAGAAAACCCCATCGTCTCAGCCCAAAAGCTTCTTAAGCTGATAAGCAAAGTCTCAGAATACAAAATCAATGTGTAAAAATCACTAGCATTCCCATACACTAACAATAGGCAAGCCGAGTGAACTCCCATTCGCAATTCCCACAAAAAGAATAAAATACTTAAGAATACAGGTAACAAGGGAAGTGAAGGACCTCTTCGAGGAGAACTACAAACCACTGCTCAAAGAAATCAGAGATGACACAAGCAAATGGAAAAACATTCCATGCTCATGGATAGGAAGAATCAACGTCGTGCAAATGGCCTTACTGCCCAAAGCAATTCATGGATTCAGTGCTTTTCCCATTCAACTACCATTGACATTCTTCACATGATTAGAAAAAAACTATTTTAAAATTCATATGGAATCAAAAAAGCCTGAACCTCCTAGGCAATCCTAAGCAAAAAGAGCAAATGCTGGAGGCATCACGCTACCCGACTACAAACTATACTACAGGGATACAGTAACCAAAGCACGGTGGTGCTGGTACAAAAACACACGTAGACGAATGGAACAGAATAAGGACCACAGAACTAAAACTGCACACCTAACAACCATTTAATCTTTGACAAACCTGACAAAAATAAGCAATGGGGAAAGGATTCCCTATTTAATAAGTGGTCCTGGGAGAACTGGCTAGCCATATGCAGAAAGTTGAAACTGGACCTCTTCCCTACACCATATACCAAAATCAACTCAAGATGAATTAAAGATGTAAGTGTAAAACCCAAAACTTTAAAAACCCTAGAGAAAAACCTAGGCAACACCATTCAAGACATAGGCGCAGGCAAAGATTTCATGACAAAGATGCCAAAAGCAATTGCAGCAAAAGCAAAAATTAACAAATGGGATCTAATTAAACTAAAGAGCTTCTGCACAGCAAAAGAAACTGTCAACAGAGGAAACAGACAACCTACAGAATGGGAGAAAATGTTTGCAATCTATGCATCTGACAAAGGTCTAATATCCAGTATCTATAAGGAACATAAACAAATGTACAAGAAAAAAACCAAACAACTTCATTAAAAAAGTGGGTAAAGGACATGAGCAGACCCTTCTCGGAAGACAACATACATGAGGCCAACATATGAAAAAAAGCTCAACATCACTGATCATTAGAGAAATGGAAATCAAAACCACAATGAGATACTATCCCACACCAGTCAGAATGGCCATAACTAAAAAGACAAAAAAATAACAGTTGCTGGTGAGGTTGTGGAGAAAAAGGAATGCTTTCACACTGCTGGTGGAAGTGTAAATTAGTTCAGCCATTGTGGAAGACAGCGTGATAATTCCTCAAAGACCTAGAGGCAGGAATGTCATTCTACCCAGCAATCCCATTACTAGGTATATACTCAAAGGAATATAAATTGTTCTGTCATAAAGACACATGAAAACGCATGCTCACTGCAGCACAATTCACAATAGCCAAGACATGGAATCAACCTAAATGTTCATCAAAGGTAGACTGGATAAAGAAAATGTGGTACATATACAGCATGGAGTACTATGCAGCAATAGAAAGGAATAAGCTCAGGTCCTTTGCAGGGACGTGGATGGAGCTGGAGGCCATTATCCTCAGCACACTAACGCAGGAACAGAAAACCAAATACTACATGTTCTCACTTGTAAGTGGGAGCTAGATGATGCGAACACAAGGACACATGGGGGGAACGACACACAGTGGGGCCTGATGTTGAATTGGGGGGGTGGGAGGAGAGAGGAGGGAGAGCACTGGGAAGAATAGCTGATGGGTGCTGGGCTTAATACCTGGGCTATGGGATGATCTGTGCAGCAAACCACCGTGGTACATGCTTCCCTATGTAACAAACGTGTACATCCTGCCCGTGTACCCCTGAACTTAAAAGATGGAAATTGTAAAAAGAAGAAGATCTGAAACTAGGGCTGCAATTATGTTACTACCTGATGTCAGGACCCCCCTGAGTGCGCAGTGTCTCCTGGGTTGAAGAACTCTGCTTTGATGACGTGCACAACTAGAGGAGGAATTGCCGAATCCCTGTGTATGTGCCTGTTCATATCCACTGAACGTCACAAAGCACGTGTCCCAGTTTATGCACAGTGGTCCCCCTTAACCGTGATTTCACTTGCTGCAGTTTTCATTATCCACGGTCAACCACGGTGTGAAAAATAAGTGAGTACAAGAAGATACTTTGAGAAAAAGAGACCACATTCTCTTACCTTTCATTACAGTACGTTGTTATAATTGTTCTACTTTATCATTAGTTGCTGTTAATCTCTTGTTGTGCCTAATTTATAAATTACACCTTATCATAGGCATGTATGAATAGGAAAAAGCATAGTATGTATGGGGTTCTGTACTCTCTGAGTTCCAGGCATCCACCGGGGTCTTGGAACAAGCCCTCATGGGTAAGGGGACCTGCAGTGCTCACCAGCTGTGCCTGTGCACTCTGGCATGTATCCTTGCTCACAAATCTAATCATTCTGCCAACCTGATAGGTGTTAAATGGTATCACATTATGGTTTTAATTTCTATTTCCCTATTTACTAGCCAAGCTTTCACATTTATTGGCCATTTCTGTTTTCCACTATGATGTGAAATGCCTGTTCATGTCTTTTACCCATTGTCCGATTGGACCTAGTCCTTTTTCTTACTGGTTTATGGGGATGTTTCTATGTATTACTGGGCAGAATTCATTTGATGCATATATGGATGATGAATATTGTCTCCCAATTTGTGGTTTGACTTTCACTTTCTTTATGGTGCCCTCTGGTGAACAAACGTTCTTAATTTATTTTTTATCTTTTAATGAAAATCTTAATGCAGAAAAAAATGCAGAAATAATAATACAATGAATGCAAACTCCCCTGTGATGGCTAATGTTATGAGTCAACTTGGCTGGGCCACAAGGCCCATCTGTTTGGTCAAACACCAGCCTGGATGTTGCTGCTGTGAAGGTATTTTTAATATATGAATAATATTTAAATTAGTAAACTTTGAGTAAAGCTGGTTACCCTCCATAACGTGGGTGGACCTCTTCCAGTCAGGCCTTAAGAAAGAAGACCAAGGTTTCCTGGAGAAGAAAAGATTCAGCCTTGAGACTAAAACGTAAAAACTCTTCCTGAGTTTCCAGCCTACTGGCCTGGAAATTCAGACCTGCCAGCCCCACAGTCACAGGGTCCAGTGCCTTCTGTGTATGTGTGTATATGGGTATGTATGTAATGTATACATATATTATATATACTATGTATGTATATTATATTAGTTCTGTTTCTCTGGAAAACCCTAATACAGCCAGCAGCCAGATTAAAGCAATGTAAGTATTTTGCCTTGTTTGCTTTTTTTCTCTCTCTCCATAGATATGCAGATAGATAGATAGATATAGATAGATAGATAGATAGATAGATAGATAGATGAGAGATAGATACATAAATATATATACATACATGTAATTAAATTACAAACACATGGCCAAGGGTAAATAAATAGGTCAGAAAATTCAGCATTCATTTCCAAAAATGGAGGATATTTTCCAATGAAACTACAATCCCATTATCACATCTAGCTAAGTTAAATAATTATTCCCTAACAGCATTGAAAACATAATCCATATTCCATCTTTATCAAGTTCCCCAAAACACATTTGTTGCTGGTTTGTTCAAGCCAGGATGGAATCAAGCCCCATGCCTTGGGAACGTCTCTGTCTCCAGTTTCTTCCCCACCCTCTGCACCTAATCTTTTCCCCAAGCCTCTAACTTGCTGCAGGAGCCTGGATCAGTGGCCAGAAGTTCCCAGGCTCAAGGTCCCATTTCCCAGAAGTGCCATTCCACCTTCTCCACTCTCCCCTGTAAATTCCTATAACGAAAGCTCAGAGCTGAGGGCTTTGAGCATATGGGAGGATCCTCAGGAGACGCTGTTAAGTTGTGTGCTCCTTACAGCCCACATCGGAGGTAAATGATGTCTGCTTGTCCCTCATCAGTGAGGCAAAGGCCACCAGGGGACAGTCAGATATTTCCATGTGCTTGAATGTTTGTGAACCCTCAAAATTCATGTTGGAACTGAATCCCCAGTGCAACAGTATTAGAAGGTGGGGCCTTTGGGAACTGGATTAACACCTCACGAGAGAGGCTTCCCCCAGCACCTCTCCCCTTCTCCCCTCTCATCTCTTCTGCCATGTAAGGACACAGTCTTTGTCCCCTCCAGAAGATGTAGCAACAAGGTGTTATCTTGGAAACAGAGCGAGTAGCCCTCACCAACACTGGGTGCTGGTGCCTTGATCTTGGACTTCCCAGCCTCCAGAACTGTGAGAAAAGAGACTGCTGTTGTTTCTAGATTACCCAGTCTGTGGTGTTTTGTTATAACAGCACAAACAGACTAAGATGTGGTTGTGAAGTGGTATCTTGTCTTTGCAACTGGCAACCAATCTGTCAGTGTTAGGTCATTCAGGTCCCCAGTGAAAACCTTTTCCAGCTGGAGCATCTATTGATGGTCCTTTCCCGAATCACCCATCCCACTAGATGTTGCAAAGTGACAAGTTTCTGATCGTGCAGGATCTAAAATAGTCCCAGGATCCCTGTCCTGATAGTAATGCCCTTGTGCCACCCCTACTCTAGAGCATGGGCCAGATCTAGTCATTTGCTTCTGACAAATAGATTAAGGTCAAAGTGATGGGAAGTCATTTCCTCCCTTCTTAATTTAGGCTACAAAAAGACTCTGTTATAGTTGGGACATTTG